CTCGCGTGGCCGCAGACTTGGGGGTGAGATTCGAGTCCGAGTTGCGATACCTGGTCGCCGGTCGATGGCTTTATGAAGTCCAAGATCTCTATTACCACGTGAAATAAAATTGCCGATGAACTGATAAATGGCAAGCCCGCGATCTGTTCGCACCAGGGTGATGGGTGGTTCGACTGTCCAGATATGGAATCGCGAACCGCTGGCCACTTCCCCCGCGTCTGGGGTTAGTGCTGATCCCATGGGGCCCCGTGGTCTAAGACAACTTGGCTCTTTAGAGGCGCTTAGGATCGCCCAACAGAGCTAGCACCAACCCCAGATGCCTAAAGTGGCCTCATGGAAGGCTTGGATATTGAGTGGATTGCTCCTCTGGCAGGCAGCGTCTGTCGGAGCTTCATTTGACGATGATATCCAAGCGTTAAGGAGGCAGTGTCCCGGATCTATTTGATTCGACAGCAGATGCGACAGCAAACGCAGAGATTCGCAGGGATTCATGACCTGCCTGCCCAGTGACCAGGCTGACATCATCATCAAGGGACGCTGGTTTGGGAGAAAATTACCACAGCAGGATAGTCAAAGTCGTGATGGAGAAATGATGAGTTGTCTAGGTTCTAATCCTATATGGTATATCTAACTTTCTTACAGATAAATAATCCATGAGATATGTGGTGGAAGGATGCTTTTAAGGCAACCGAAGCAAGACTACCAAACATGTGAAATTGGAGACTGGCCCCATAAAGTATTCAAAATATTAGCCACTGATCACCCTCTACCTAATTTAGGAGATAGTAAGTGTTATGGCTGGTCCAAAAGGGTCTTAGTGGCAGCCCTCACACGGTCATAAGTGCCTTACGGCGGCTATCCAATTGAACTTGAAGGATATATATTGAATAAACGGCGTTCATTCAATTGGGCTCCATTCATAGAGGTATAGGCCTCAGACCTATACAACGTCAACGAGTCTCGCCCATAACAAGGCACCTAATTACCAGATGGTAAAGCCACCACCCGTAAAGACCGTAACAGATAATCCCTATATTAGTTTAAACGCCACGTCTAATTTTAGTATTCCTAAACTAGCAAGATTTCTCATAATATCGAGGTTCTACTCTGTACCTAGCAGAGTAATCATACTTTTCTGGAATACTAAATCCTATCACCTACCCACCATATTAAAAGCTCTGTACTTGCCTCTTGTGCACCTCGTCCCTATTTTTTACTTTGAAAGCGATTTACTCAAACCCATCGAGTTTATCATAGCCTTCTTCAGCCGCTGGAACAATCTTTTACTGGAGATCCTGTGGATGATACGCGATTATATCTACGATTCTAATCAGCAGTCTTCCAACAGTCATCCTCGTTGTCAGTTGCTTTCACTAATATGTCGTGAATGGCATTGCTGGTTCATGCACGATAGTTTTCGTCTCTTGGTACTGGATCAAGACCGAATACATGACTTCAAAAGGCTTGTCAGTGACAATGAAACCCAACGTGGAAACGTGGAGTGCATTGTCCTGCGAGTCAAACTTCCGGAATACGGTTGTCTGAGTTGCGATGAGGCAGAGGGAGAGACCACTGCTCGCGCTAATGACAAAACCTTTATGAGGACCGTGCAGCAATTCATGGGCATCCTATCGACTTGGGCCACAGCAACCAAAAAAAAAACCAGCGTCCGGTTAAAAATTTGGTGGCCTATTTCCCCC